GTAGCTGCAAAGAGAGATTTGGTTTCGATCAATCTCCTGAGAAAGCATTGTTGGGGGGAATCTCCTTTCATATGAAAGTGCATGAAGAAGAGTTTCATAGGTCGATCTCACCAGAAAAGTCTTAAGCTAACCCTACAGGATTGAGACCCAGCTCTGACGATGTCCATCATATGATTGACGAAAGCGCAGCCTGTCTTCACCCGAAACCAGGGAGGAGGTCTTATGGACTGCGTCAACCGGAACGTCGTATAAAAGCCAAACGGCTTCAGTACAACGCGATTCATTCGTCCTCTTCTGGTGAGATCGACCGACGAATCTCTTCTTCATGCCTTTTGATACGAGATGAAAGTCCTCCCAACAATGAGAGAGTAGATCAGTTTGATCATTGACGTGGCCCGTGGAGTAAAGGCTTGACCACGAGATTGATTCGGTGCAAATGCGGCAGCTTTAATTTAGCTTTCCATGTAGTTTGAGAATCCAACCTTTGGATGCTTACTTAGTGAGTCTATTGTATATGTGTTATCGAATATATAATGGCAAATATTGAGTTAAATCACTTAACCAGAGATCCTACAGAACAAGAGAAAGACTCTGATTGGACCTGGATGAAGAGGATTGCGGATTTTGAACATAGTTAGAGAGGGGAGGATGAGTTAAGCAGCGCAAAATGTAAATAGGACTCACAAAATCCGCTCAAAAGAGCATACCTCACATAGGGTTAAATAAGCAAGAAATTGTGATAATAAATTCATGTTACGAGGATATAGGATAGTTAATACACCTGAACAGAAGGAGAGATACCACAACTGTTTAGTGGACAGTTTGTTGAGGGACTGACTTTATTTGTCTCTTTGACGAGTTGTAGTGTCGTGGTTAGAATAGCAAGGTTCACTGGCGATGCTGGTGCCTAGTCTAGGAATGTACCAAGTCCATGGTTTGACTCTGGAAATTATCAGGCCTATTATGTGCTCAGAACAAAGTGCGTTTCTCTAGCACGCCCTGACAATAGGATAAAGTTGAGAAAAAAAGTCATACAACCTCTGTGCAACTAAATGAGACCGCGACCATATTAAAGGCAACACCATCTAGTTCTTCGTACCTTCGATTAAACAGCAATATAAACCGTGCCCAGGAAATATTTCCTCAATAGAAGTTGACCGACCTTTCGTAGGCCTCATTTACATCCTGCATACTTGACTTCGGCAATGAGAGACCAACAAATAAATCTTACATTACGAGATAATTGCAAAATGAAGCTATTAATACCGTAAGATAATCCACAGCAAACTGATATTGCATGATTGAATTACTAGGAACGAGCCAGAAAATGTTTTAAAATATACTTGAACTATGGGACGAGAAAGAGTATGATAGATCCTGGATGAAGAGGTTTACGAGCTAAAAGTTCTGACTCGGATACACACTCTTGGCACAGAGTAGGAAGTTGTGATAGTTAATTTATGATACGAGGAGAAATGATAAATGAAGGCACCAGGACAGAAGGAAAGATACCATGACTGTTTAGCAGACACTTGTTTAAAGGATCGATTTAATTTGTTGCTTCAACGAGTTGTAGTATGGTGCTAAGTGTGGTAAAGCTTACTGACGATAGTAACTATGATGCCGTCTGAGAATGTACCAATTCCACTGTCCGACTGCAAATTATCATGCACACATTGGACTCCAAACAAGGTGCATTCC